TTGAATGGTACCATACACTTAAACGTAAATATATGTGTGGCATTTTTACAAACCGTTGAGACCGAAATTATTTTTTAGCCAACCTTATATTTCATTTTAGCTCAGATCAAAAGTACACGGACCAGAACTTTGAGAATTTATTATTTCAAAGCTAGTGCATGCAATCGAGAGTTTGAACAGATAATTAGTGCATTCGTACCAAGTGATTCGAAGCTGACACGTAACATTTTCCTTGGCAGTTGTGCTGAAGTTTGTCTGCTTTTCTTTCATTTTTCCTTAGATTCTCAAAATGAATATTGTTTGATGTGACACGAAAAACGGTACCATGCTATTTATCATTCATTCTATGACTAGGAGACGCGAGACCGCGTTGCACAAATTGTCTAAACAAGCTTAATCGTGTATTTAGCAGGTTTATACTTGTCACTTATCTCGTCCAGGTTTATTCACTCTTTGGAAACAGGGAAGAACAAGCACAAACATGTTAAGACAATGTCCGCAATGCGGTCACGCGTCTCCTAGTCGTAGAATAGATGATACGTGTGACTAATGATCTGTTGAACTTCTAATCTTTTCATCAGTGATTTTACAGAGAGAATTCGAGTTTTTGTGCTGGCCTTACATCAAACTTATTTATTCTTCCATACGGAGTAGTAAACCATAATGGAAGAATCTTTCTCAACTAGTCCCGTAGTCCTAAAAAGTTTGTTATTCTCAATTATAGCAGGTCAATACATATTCAAATGATTTCTGGAAGGTCGGGCATATTTCACGCGATTTTAGTCGCGACGTGACTTGGCAATAATCCAACTGTCCATAACTCGCTGTAAGCACAGTTTAAATGTACAGAAGTGAGGACATTTTATCAATCCACGTAAGTTATACACACAATACATGTGCAATTTGCTATGTTGGATCCGAAGACTTCTGGCGGATTGCCAAATCGCGTCACGACTGAAATCGCGTGAAGTATGCCCGGCCCTTAAAGCAAAGGCGAACACATCAGAGAGAGAGAGAAAGAGAGAGAGAGAGAGAGGACGGTAGAGCAAGAGCAGAGAGAGAAAGAGAGAGAGAGAGAGAGAGAGAGAGAGAGAGGACGGTAGAGCAAGAGCAGGGATGCATCGATTTTTTTCAAGGTGGCCTACTTATGAAACTGCAAGTTTGAATTATCTATGTGTGAGCACAGTTTGAATGTAGAGATAATCAAAGTTTGGCGAACTGGATAAGTGATCTAAAAGAGCCTCCGCTTTCTCTTAAAATTTCAGAGTTTGCAGAAACCTGAGAGGTGTCCCAGTAGAGGGCGTAACCATATCATATAACATTTGATTCAACTGGCTTGGCACCATTAGGGCGGGGTTTTGTGATCTAATTGAGGCCGCTCGCGCCCGCGACGCACCTGCGTCTTTCTCGCGCGAGTGCTCTCTGATTCACCTAGCCTTAATTAGGTCACGAAGCCCCGCCTTTGCCGATGCCAAGCCAGTTGAACCAAAGGGTACCATACCGTATCATTCCTTTTCAAATAGATTTAGGTTTTCCACTCCGAAAAAGATCTTGCGAACGCCAACATGTCCTAAGCATATCTTCACGACCCTGCTTGAAACCTGACTCATGGTGCTATTAGATTACATGTTAACAATACTCTAAATTCAAAAGTGTAATAGTATGCTGAGGCCGTATCATTTAATTCCCACTTCTAATTTCAGCATTTTTCGTCGTTGTTTTCCTTGGTTCGCTCTTCGTTCTTTGCTCTTTCTCTCCTTCTCACAATCAGCAGCAGCTGCCAAATGTCCGTATCTTTCGACTCCGCACACGTGCTGGGTTTGCAAAGAACGAGATTAAGTTTTTTGGTTGAGCACCCCCAATGTTGCTTTTTTTGTCTACCCTTGGTTTTTTTCTTTACTAATGTACTGATCACGTTTTGATACAATTAGTAATCTAGCTGGGTGAAAAGAAACGGATTGAGAGGAACTAGAATGAATCTTGCGTCATTTAAACAAGAATATAGAAGTATCTTGACCGCACGGACTGCTTAAACGTGCGGACCACGCGCGCCTCGGCTGAATTGTTGCGAGAGCACGACTTGTACAGTCGAGTATCGTCCCCTCCACAACCCCTGCTGGGAGACGGTCTTTTCGCATGGACGGTCTCCAGCGTCTCCCTGATTTTGACTTGTCTTAACATGTAATGCACGCCGCAAATCTTTCCTCCCCCTGTTTTGCTCAGGCAAAAGCCGCCGCAGGGTGTGTCGCGCGCGGCGGTGGTCCTGTGTGGAAAGCATTACGGTCGTGCGAAACGTCCTACACCCCTCCTGCTACCCTTGGTCTGCGTTTCAGACCTGCCACGTGTGGCTAACATGTTGACAACGTGGCAACGGCATGTTTGCAACATGCCGCAACATGTTGGCATAAGATTTTGGCCACGCCAACATGTTGCTGCATGTTGCCAACGTGTTGCTGCCAACGTGTCATCGTGTTAGCTACACGTGGCACGTCCGCGACGCCAGAAGAGTAGCAGCAAATGTGGAAGGGACGTTAGATTTTCCGCTATATATATATAGTGCTTGCACTGAAGGTGAAATGCGGTAAAATTTGCGCGTAAAAAAATAGCTACGCCTGTGACGCCTGGCATTTGCGCGCGCAAAATGTTGGCATTACTGGCGTGGCTACTTGTTCACGCGCCAATTTCACCGCATTTCACCTCCAGTGCAAGCACACTATATTAAGCGGAAAATCTACTCGACTTTATCATCGGCTCCCAGATTCGTGGAGGATTGCTTTGGGATTCGGGTTGCGGACTTTCCTGATTTTCAGGATAAACTTGTTAAGCCTCCACGTTATAGCATCGTACTCTCTCGTTGAGCTTATCCTCACCCCATCGTGACCACAGCAATCTGTGAGCCGATCATACAATGGCGACTTTGTACTGGGGCAAGCTTTTTACCTCGCGGCGCGTGCTCCGCAGTGATGTCCAGTCCGTGCGGTCAATGAATCATCACCTAAATCGATTTGTTGAACAAAAAAAATGAACTTCTATAATCTTGTGTCATGAGCGGCTGATTTGAAAAGGTAGAAATTTCACCCACATCTGCTTTTGCTGCGACTGCCTTGATAAATAACGAACTCATTAGGCACCCGCCATACTTGATCCCCTTGATCCGCTTGATGCGCTTCGTGCAAGCGAGCGCGTCACTAATTTGTCCATGGCGTCGCGTACAGTGAATTTGCGTAACCATAGAGAATTCCTTTCTATCATCGGCTCCACGATTCGTGTAGAGGCGGGATTTTGCCAACTCAAAGCGTGGCGGTTTTTGATAGCGAGAGAGTACAAAAAACAATGCTATGACGTGGAGGTTCAACAAGTTTACCTGTGTTATCAGGCAAAGTCTGTAAAACACCTCTACAGGAATCGTGGAGACGATCATACCTACGAGGCGCCAATGACAAAATGCTGTGTGCGCCCTTTTCCACTACGGATCAAGCGGATCAAGTATGGCGGGTGCCTTACAAGAAGTGCTTTTTGAAAGTTATTGATTCTAGCATAGATGCTCCAATGGCAAGGCTCGCTCTATGGAGAATTTGCAGCGGCGCTCTAGACGGAACTTTTTTGATCACATTTTTTAAGCATCCTTCTCGAATGTCGAAGTTTTTCAATACTGCGTTCATTTGGCGTTTTGCAAGTCTCCTCTTGACTTCTATGGTTCTGTGGTTGTATGGCAAGAGGGACGTTTTTTATTGCCTAATAGGCACCAGTTAGCGCATTTTTAGTATCTTATGGTTCTAAGAGGAATTTTATTTTCTAAGTAGAGTATGATCGTCCCATGAGCAGCTCGATCTTATTATTTTGAAATAGATTTAAAACATGAGAAATGATGGTCAAAAACCTGTGAAAATGCGAGTAGTGGCATTTCTCTGAATATTTCAATCAGTTGCACCAAACACCATCAAACTTCAAGGTGGTAGCTTCAGATACTAACAATAGTAAGCTAGAGCACTTTGTATGGAAAGAGAAAGAAAGACTCCCTTAGCTTTAGATTGGATATCAAAGTAATGGCCTCTGCAGGAATCGCGCTTCTTGATCGTCTCCCGGGTTCCGTTTTTTATGGGATCATTTCATCAAGAAGTTCTTTCATCTGCTGCGATTACCAACTCTTCAGATACGCGAACGAATCAAAAAGCTCTCACTCTTTACTCAAAGTGTTGAGGAATTTGAGTACCAAACATTTTTTGTATTTCGTTCATTCTCTACATATACTCCACCGCTTTCTTTTCTTCTTTTCTCGAGTACCAAACATTGTTTGTAGTTCCAGTTCGTTCTCTGCATACACCTCACCGTTTTCTTTTCTTCTTTTCTTGAGTACTCTACATTGTTTATAGTCCAGTTCGTTCTCTGCATTTAATCCACCGTTTTCTTTTCTTTTCGTCGTGCTTTTGAACAGTGCTGCATTCTTAAAGGCAGCATCCAGGCAGATCTGCACCTATGGGGATTTTACGCGGAAGATACTTTGAGGCCTTAACTAAGGCACTGCCCAAGCGGCAGCGCAGGTAGTGCTCTAACGGCTGAGATATTCCCCTCGAAACTGGACCCCTCGATCGTATTCGCATGAATTTATGGCAGTTTCGCGCCAGGATCCACGCTTTGAGCCATGAATCCATGCGAAATACGATCGCGAGGTCCGGTTTCGAGGGGAATATCTTAGGTAGGTGCCAGAGTAAGCGAATATTTTGTTCAGGTTGGGGTCTCGCGCAGAATTGGCGTCACTTGGATTGACGCCAGCATGGTGAGAGACGTCAATTCTGCGCAGGACCCCAACCTGAACAAAATATTCGCTTACTCTGGCACCTACCTTAGCCGTTAGAGTACTATCTGCGCCGCTTGGGCAGTGGCTTAGTTAGAGCCCCAAAATTACTATTGTGAGATCCCCATGTGTCCAGACTTGCCTGGATGCTGTCTTTAAAGAAAAGTATTCTCGCTGCTGTTCGAGTGAAGCTGGCTTTCTTCAGCTGTGACGTAGAAGAAATGTTCCGAGTGCTGATCAGCGGTCCTGCTGGAAGCGGGAAACGTACGGTTGCAAAGATGCTGCTGAAGGAGTTTGATGAGTTTAATCATTTTTCTGCTGGAGATTTTATCAGAGACCACATTAGAAGAGAAACAGGTGAGTGGATTATGCGGCACTGACTCTTATGTTATTTCTTCTATAAACTTTTGAGAAATTTCGTTTCAGATTTTGGCAAAAGAGCAGCATCATTTGTACGAAAAGGAGAACTTATTCCTGATAGCATAATGAATGGACTACTGCTCAATGAAATAAAGAATGGGGGGAACAAATTGATTCTAGATGGTAAGTTTGTGTTTTCATTGGCGGTTTAATCTTTCTGTTTTTATTATTTGGATAAGAAGATTTATGGGTTCACAAACTCGTTGTTGTATAGTTGCTTCATTTTTACATCGAGTTTTTTGAATAATTCTCACTCGTGAGTTTCGACAGCGTCTTTTTCTAATCTTCAGTGAACTTTTTTCTGCCGATTGCCCGTCTGAACAAAGGCTATCTCTATTTTTTGCCGCTTGTAACGTAACACGCAACAAATTATTTCTTTGTTTGCGGCATTGATAAGACTGAGAATCGTTCTTTTTTGTCTTTGAAAAACAGTGTACAAGTGTCACACTGCAGTTTGAAGCCTATCTGCACGGTTTGAAACATCGGCATATTCTCATATTTTTCATTGCAAACTGATCGTAAGCTTACTTTTTTTAACATAGCAAAAAATACATGACTTTTCATTATCAAAAATGAAAGATCAGTGGTATTGATGACAAAGTAGCAGAAGTCTGGAAGGTAGAGTTCTAATGACAAATGCTCAACAAGTTTGACGGTGTCTTTTTTAACGAGGAAAAAGTGAAGTTATTTTAGCTATGGTGTAGCGTTTGTTCCGAAAATACATCAGTTTGAAGTTTGTTACACTTTCTCCTTTTTCTAAAGACACGTGCATTCCGCGTTTTCAAAGTACTACAGCAAAAGAGGCTATTTGACAACTTAGAGGCAGCGTCCGGGCAAAATTGACCTACCTCAGATGCTGTCACATTTCGACAGGGTCCCCCTCAACTAAGACAAAACAGCAAGTCCGCCCCGAAAATGTGAATTCTGAAAGTCAGGTGGGCGGGTCAAGTGCCGCTCCCCTTCCTCCTTCCGCTCCCCTTACGCCTACAAAGACGAGCTTACATGTTTGACGCGCCCCCTTGACGTGTCGTTACACGCAGTGTTTCTACCTTTGACACATGTTTTCACGTGTCACTACACCAGATAAATTTCGGAACACTCGTCCGCGACTATTGAAATAGGGTTCCAGAAACGGGGGTTTTGGAGATTTCAAGCAATTCTTGGTTCGGATTTAGATTCAGGGGCGTCGAAAAAGCAAGAAACGCTAGAAACATGGAAGTCGAGGTTTTGCCCGGACGCTGCCTTTAAGAGGCTGTTACATTGCGAGTTATATCGAAACAGTTCATACATGACTTTGAAGCTGAAAGAGGGGAGGGGTGAAGGACGGTTAGAGAGAAGGGAATGAGAATGCTTTCAAGAAGTAACACATTCTGAGATGGTGGGATTTTTCCAGATTCATTATAAGAGATTTTTCTGAAGAAATTAGTAAACCTGGCATATCGTTCAGCTAGAAGTAGTTGACTATGACTAGTGCGTATATCTTTTGTTTGCCGCAGTGACTTAGGTGTCTACTCTGAATTTGCAAAGCTACACATCATTATGGCTGAACGTGACTAATTTCAATTAAAAAAACAAAAGAGTCAGGATTGTTGTATTGCAAGCAAAATCGGGTCAATTTCACATTATTTTATCTTTACTTTTTTTCTCAAGTCATCAGTACCGCCTGGCTTTGACAATAAAACCTGAAATTTTTGTTCTCAAGTCTGTTGTTTGCATACACTCAATTTGCCTTTAGGTTATCCTCGTACACTGGCACAAGTGAAACTAGTTGAAGATATTGCTCCTATGAATCTTGTTGCGGAATTAAAGGTGGAACAAGTTCTGCTACTACGACAGACTTTTAATAATTCTCAACATCTTAGGTACCAAAGAAGGTGCTCATTGATCGATTATCAAAGCAGTTAGTTCATTCAGCTTCGGGACGAGCTTACAATCTTGATTACAATCCTCCTAAGGAAGAGGTTAGATCTTTGCAATTGATCTCTATCCTCTCTAACTGGATCGTATGTAGGGAAAAGACGATGTGACTGGAGAACCATTGGAAAAGCGCGAGGACGATGTAGCAGAAGTAGTTCGCAGACGAATAGAAGTTCATGATAAGACTGAAAGCAAAGTTGTTGACTATTACAGGTGAGACTTCATCTCTCGTCAGCATCACTCCATATAGCAAGGTCTCATTTTCAGGACAAAAGGAATTCTTATGACATTGAGCGGAGAAAGTTCCGAAGTCGTGTTCCAAGCAATCTCAGACGCTATGAAAGAACTGATGAATAAACGTGCGGTTGGCTAAACGTTGTTGACGCTTGCAGCTACACACATGTTTCACGTCTTTCTTCCTGTTTACTTCTTACCTCCAACCTTCACATTCTTGCTAATATATTTTATTTTGCGAATATAACCGAAGACTCTTTTTTGCAGAAGCACTGTAACTGATGACAAGTTTTTTCTTCGAATGGATGATTGAAGTGCCATTCTTCATGCTAAAGGTCTCATCTCAGTCTCGTTGTAAATTCTCGTGCATGTCTTTGAATCCTAATGGTATGATCTTCTAACCAGTTTCCAGTATGTTAGGATTTACAATACCAGTGAAAGCTAGACATTTATATGACATATGGGTAATCTCATGTAGTTGTCAGAGTTACTTTACTCTTCGTTTTTGTCGTTGTATATGGTTTTGTTTTCGAGTTTTATTTGTTCAAGAAGTATCATGTAAAAGTTTTGATAAGATTCTCATCTAACTTCTTAATTTTGTTCCGAAATTCTAATCTCTTGCTAGGTTAGAAGTTCTTTACTTTCCCTACCTTAAAGGCACCGTCCACCCAAACTGGGGTTGGTGAGATTATGATACCTAGCAGCTGTGGGGCCCCTAACTGTATGATTGACCAACTCGCCTAAAGTTGCTTCCGAAGTGAGAAAATTGCTTCGGAAATTGCTTCAGGTTACGGTTCACGACGTTGGCTCCTCCCCTTTCGTGTGGGCGTGATGTTCGTCCCGCCCATTCGTGCATGCCCAACCAATCACCGTATCGAAGAAATCGCTCCACAGGTTCTGAAAACGGGGTTTTTTGCGATTTTCGCGAATTTTCGACTCGATATTCGGAATCAGGGGTATGAGAAGGCCCTGGAACGGCAAAAACATGGATGTCGAAGTTTTGGACAGTGCCTTTAAAGGCAGTGGATCGGCAAAATCCAACAACTCGGGATTTTAACGCGGTAGGTTCCTTATCGCCCAACTATGAAAACAGTGCAAGCCCAGTTGCACAGCATGCTTTCCCTGCCGAGAAAATCGCTCTCGAACTTACACGCGCAGGCCAATCTTGCACGCATCTGGACGAGTTGGCAATTTCCTTCTCACCATTGGAGGCTCCCGCCGCAACGCTATAACCATTGGGTCATGCCACGATTTAGCGTTATCGGCCTTGGTCCACTCGTCCAATATCATAGGAAAGGGCATTAAAAAACGCTCATTTTCGCCGTTTTAAAGCATTTAAAAGTGGATTTTCGGGATCAGCGTCACGGCCCGGCACACGTTGGTTTGGAGGTTTTTAGGAGACGAAGTCCCCCATGACTTCGCGAAAATGTACGAAGTCTCTCTCGACGTGAAAATCGGTAAGGAAACCCTTATTCAATAGCAACAATAGCAACAAAAAAGCGAAAAAAGCGCATTTTGAGGTATGTAATATAACAAAAAAGCAAAAAGAAAACATTTCGAGTCGATTAAAGGCTCTGCATTGGGTATAGTACCATTTTGATGCTGGGAATGTCGAAAATCTCCTACGCCAACCAAATCTGTAGCCTCAACAATCCTGCGATGCATCTCTCGCCACATATTTCAAAGGACACCGTAAGTGATTGGAGCGCGATATCTATCAACGCGTACCAACGCGTACTACTTTTGACTCAAAAAGGGGAGAAGCAACGGTTTGATCCGCTCTCTTCACTATAGGATAGATTTTTGACCGTTCTAGTCGTCCAAATCAAAAAGGTGCAAAACTTATGTGAACTCTCCGATATTTATGCTCCGAACCAACCCAATTGGTTTGGTAGTTGATCTAGAAACCAACAAATTCGAGAGCGGATATTAGGACACATAAGATTTGGGAACTTTTTGCATAACATAGTTTGGAGTAATATTGTATACACATAGCCCATATTCGGAGCCATGGAATTGTTTGTGCGCTGTAAACAAGCCATTTGTTTGTTTGAGTCTTGCATTTATAATTCGCGCGCTTGCGAAAGAACACGTTCAACTCGTGAAACCTGACATGTTCGTCGTGTTTTTTGGCGCTTCCTCCAGGACCTCATAAAAACGATGTCCCCGTTGCCTCTAACTTCAGAAACGAAGTCCAATTTGACCCCAAACCATCGGTGCCGGGCCCTTATCAGCGTATTGAAAAACACCAGGTAAGCGCAAATTTGACTAGGTTGAGATTTGCCAAGCCACTGCCTTTAAGGAGATTCTGGAGAGTACGTGCTTTTGAGTTTAGAGTTGATATCAAAGTTTGCTAGATTGTTTACAGACTCATCTAAGGCCTCTGCATGTTTAGCGATTCATAGCAGCGGATGTATCGTCGTCTCTCCAATCAAGCGCTCTTTTGTTTCTCTTACCATCTGCTGTCTCTCCCATGCAAGAGCCATGTTGGTCGGACGCAAGGGCGCCCAGTCTTTGCGTGTCATGAATCGTATATACATCTCCGCTGGGGGGGGGGCAGGGAATAGATATCTGTACTCTCCTCTGCATACCTATTTGAGGAAGGTTCTCTTATAGTGATACCTGAGCGTGATGGTTGCTAGATTGCCATGCGTTGAGATTCTGGTTTGTTCTCCCTTGGGGAATCACGCGGATCAGCTATTATATTCAAAGTGGTTTCTCATCCCCTAAAAAACGTCGTAGTTGGTAAAGTTGCACAGAGATCTATTATGGCACTGATATTTGACCACTCCTGTGAGCTAGGGACTGAAAAAACGCGAACTCACAATTTCTATGTCGTGGCGAAAATATGCTTATTAGGGCCATAAGCGATTCTCACAAGGAAAGAATACCAGGTCGCAGTGGCGAACCGCAATGATATGCATATCATTAGATGCCTCATGAAGAGCTGATTTCAAATCTATCTGCTACGAGCTTCTCTAGAAGAATCTGTGGGCGTTAGAAGATGCGAGATTGTTGGGATTTTAATGCGTAATGCGCTTCAAAAGCTAGCTTAGGAGTTTCAGTTTGCATGGTTTTGAGTACACTGACTACAAGAAATGCATATATACACCGAACACATGAATAAGCGTTTTTTTAGCAAGTAGTTCTTGAAAATGAGGCACTGAATGTCTGCTAAATTTGGACATTCAAACGCCCATAGCTTCTTCTAGAAAAGCTCGTAGCAGATAGGAAGAGTAGATTTGGAATTAGCTCGCATCTAATGAGGTGCATTTCGGTTCGCCACTACGATCTGGTATCCTTCCCTTGTCGGTATTTATCTTTCTCTTTAAATAATACACGTGAACGTGGGCCAAATCAGGAACACAGAGCGGATTTCGTCAGTGTTTTATTTATATGCTCTGTAAAATTTTGCCAAAATGAACGCCGAGATCGTAGGTGTGACTATCATACTCTGAGCAAGAGGAGCATGCTTTGCGTAGTCGAGTAGATTTTCCGCTCAATATAGTGTGTTCGCACTGTAGTGAAATGCGACAAAATTTGCTCGTAAATAATTAGCCATGCCAAATAATGCCGGCATTCTGCGCGCGCAGTTGTCACAGGCATAGCTTTTTCTTCACGCGTTTACCGCATTTACCGCAATTCATCTACAGTACAAGCACACTATATTAAACAGAAAATCTACTCGACTGTACGTTTGATAAACAACCTCATGAACGAATTAATCAGAGCGCGTTCGAACGCATTTATTTTTAATCAAACGTATGCAAAGCGTGCGCACGGCTCTTAGTCAGCGAAGAATAATACTTATGGTGCTCGAATTGCACATCGTCAAACTTTTAGTGTGTACCGATCACCACCAATGCACCTAGAAGAGGATTTATCCTGGTTATTTGGCACTAAGCATGCTGTGATATCTATCAGGGTATGTGCTGACATTGACTTCCTCATAGCCGTGTCATTACTTGCCAGATTAACGTAAAGGTCATGCCAAAGTATGACCTGCTGTGATATGAGTGTGTTTATCTCCCAGATGTACATCAAGTTACTTTGCTCCGTCTGTTATCGTCAGTATTCTACCACTGTCCCAAAGCGACAAGTCGTCTAACTCAATAAATCTGCCAGGCTAGTGTATTGTGCACACCTGCAGATATTACTACCAAGGCGACAACTACGCTCAAGGGTATGTCAACGTACGTCAGCCTAACATCTCTGTGCATCAGCCAAACAAGGTCGATACCATGCTCCGCTTCCAAGGATATGAGAGCAGAAGCCACAATGGAGCAACAACGACTCTACATCTCCACGTGGAAGACGTGAAGAGATATGCCAATAGTCTCGCGGAACTACTACGAAAGTACGCGAGCCTTGGTGAGAAAATTCTATCTCCAGTCTATGAACAGGAGCGGCAGAAAGTATGCATTCAAAATCTGCACATACTACCAAACCGCATAATCGACTTCATACTGGGCTTACACTTGGTACAATCGAAAATCGACGCGCTAAAGAGGCTGTATTCAAGCGAGTGCAAAATTAATTAGAAGTTAATGGCAGAAGATTTGGATTCACTTAACAAAGAGGCGGGTCATTTCCAGATTGTTATCGATGCCCAAATCTTTATTCACACACTAGAAGAACGCGAAATATTAGGTTGTGTAAGAAGTTCTGTCCCATTCTTCCTTCGATTTTTTCTTAACACTTCGCGCGATGTTCTGCCAGTTGTTTATATGCATTTGAAAGCTCTAACCCTTCTCTACTAAAACTTTCATTTGGTTTTTTACATCAGAAAGAGTTTTGAAAGAGTTTTACAGCGTCAAATTTGGAAAATCAAACAGAGAAAAAATCCATTTTCAACAACTACGTTACGTCGCCCTCCAATTAGTCAGAATGTCTACGAATGAGCCCGAAAAAATTGCTACACGTAAGCAAAGATTGTTATGGCTTCTACTGCGCTTCAGGACTGCCTAAAACTTTTCCAAAATCATTTCTGTAAACTTTAGAAAAGTCTTCTTTTTAACGCCTCTTCAACGTTGACGTTCGGCATCCTCTAAAGGCATCCTGAGGGAAGACGGTAGGCGGATCGTTTAGAAAAGACAAGAGATGGTTTGTGGCTCCAAACTTAACGAATTCATAGGCTAAATACTCAAAATTCGAATCTTGGGAGCCACACAGCTTGGGCCTCGAGGCGGCGAACATCGGCGTGAACAAAGTCTTGCTTTGCCGACTTTTGAAAAAATGTCATTAAATACACGGTGGAAGGAAGGGAACAAGCGCAAACAGTGACAGAATGAAGTGTAAGAGTCTAATAGATTGTTTTGCTTGTTGTCAAGCTTGTTTAATAAGTTTTACCAACGAAAAGCGAGAAAAATTTGGAGGGAAAAGTGTTAAAAATTGATTTTTCGGCTCTTTGAATTTTTTGTTCCAATGATAAAAATCTTTTTCAAGCTCTTGCTATGTTCGGGAATGATGCATATGAGCCTGCAGAGCAAACTTGGAGCTTTCAAAAGCATATACACTTTATCTCAATTTAAGTCAATGTTGTCGTGAAAAACTAAAACAAAAAATGGGACAGAACTTATCACACGACCTAATAGATGCGAAGATAGAATTGAAGAACATAGAACACAAAAAATTCTGCCCATCAATTTTCAAAAGCGGCAATGAGCGATTACCTAAACCCAATGTTTTTCTGCCTAGAAATCAGTCGGGCAACAAGGATTTAGCACTAGGCGA